CAGCCTGCGGGGTGGAGACGGTGTCTCCAAGGCCAGGAGGTCCCCACCCGCACCGGGGCGGGGAGCTTCGGGGCACGACCCGTGCTCCGGCCACTTCCGGCGTCCCGGGGGGCGTTGGGGTGCACGAGGGTCCAGCCACTCTGGTGCGTGAGCTCGTAGACTGGGTGCACCCTGGGCCCGGCCTTTTGCCTCTGGGGTTCCTCGGCACCCCCCCCCCCTTTCGTGTGCAGACGTGCTTGGCGCGGGGGCGGACGAGAGGCTCCCTCAGGAGACGCCTCTCCGACCCTCAGTTTCCCTACCCTGTAGCATGCCGGCCACAAGGGTCCAGACAATGAGTCACGCCGGGTACCCAAGGACCATTAAGCCCCGAACCCCGCTAGGACACCTGCCCCTGATCCCCAAGATGTGGGGATGAAACCCAGACCCTCCCCTTGGCACTTTTCTGAAAGCCACTGTGCATCCTAGGCAGGAGACTTCCACCGGCAGACCTTTGCAGGGACCAGGCTGTCTGTACATGGACTGCCCTATCCCCACACGAGGACCTGTCACCCTCAGTCCCCCAGCAGGATGCACAGAGGACCGAACTGCAGGCTGGAATGGGGACCCAGGCTAGGCCACTGCCCTGCCATCTGCCGTGGTGGTTGGTGTCCAGCTTCTGTCCCCATCCTGCTGTGGCACCACGGTGCCCATGGTTCTTCCTGGCACCTCCCCTCTCGAATCACCAGAGGGCCCCAGATTAAGGCAAGCTGGGACACCCTTGCACCCTGCTTCTTTCTTTGGACACTCACTCAGGCCTCAGCTCTTGCTAGGCTATGCCCACTGCTCAGCTGGCTCAACCCCTCCTTGGGGTCCCCCAAATTCCTGTTATCCTCTAGGGACCATTCCTGCCTTGAGTCTAACAAACCATGTGGCCTCTGCCTTTGTCCCTCGCTTGATCTTGAGCTTGGGTGCATCTTCTGTTGAACCTTAGCTCAGTGGGGTCCTCCAGGGACCGCTAAGTCTGTGTCCCCATCCCTGGTGGAGACACAGAAGCATTCAGCACCCAGCAACCACGAAGGAAGCATGTTAGTGTGCCCTCTGCAGATGGGGGAACTGGTACTCAGAGCAGTACAGGGACCAGCCCCAAGGTCGCTGGGAAATTCTGGCAGGGCTCACTCTGCCTTATCCATGTCCTCTAGGATGATGTCCCTGGCTGAGCATGGTAGCGGCCTGTGGTCTGGGTTTCCTCATCTGGTGTCAGGCATACACTGAAGAGCCAGCAAGCTTGGACACCCATGTCCCAACTCATGACAGAGTGATCTACTTGCCCCAGCCTGGCCATCTGATGTGGTACACAAGCTGAGTGACTTGAGAAAAGACCAGGGACATCCTCCAACAGGTGACTAAATGGTGGACTCTGACAAGTGGCTTTTAGTAATGGCCAGCTAGACATGAGCGGCCCCTGAGGTCGCCTCTGACTTCCGGAAGTAGAGGTCTGCAAGTCTACCACACAGGCTGCTCCAGCCCATGGGGCCTCGGGAGCCACGTGACTGTCCAGACCCTACCAGGCCCAGCCATGGCGGGCAGTGAGGGCTTCCAGTACAGGGCTGTGTACCCATTCCGCCGGGAGCGGCCTGAGGACCTGGAGCTACTGCCTGGAGACCTACTGGTGGTGAGCCGTGTGGCTCTGCAGGCACTGGGCGTGGCAGATGGAGGGGAGCGCTGTCCACACAACGTGGGCTGGATGCCTGGCTTCAATGAGCGCACCCGGCAGCGAGGGGACTTCCCTGGAACGTATGTGGAGTTCCTAGGGCCTGTGGCTCTGGCTCGACCAGGACCTCGCCCACGAGGCCCCCGTCCATTGCCCGCCAGGCCCTTGGATGGGCCCTCTGAGTCAGGTGAGCAGACACCGTAGAAAAGGACCCTGTCCCTTCAGACCTCAGGCCTTCTCCCCAGTGAATTGGTGGGAAGGCTGTATGGTCAGGCTCTTGTTCAGGAAGTGAGGGTATGTCACCCTGGTGACAACTGTGGTGAGTTGCTGAGGGTGGAGGCCCTCCCTCGGGCAGCATGCACAGCCAGTGCAAAGGCCCTGAGGCAAGTTCACAAAGCAGCCAGCAAGGAGTGAAGAAGGGAACTTGAGAGTGAGTGTGTAGAACACAGAGGCCTCCTTCACACCACAGACCATGTTCTCCATGGGAGCCTCTCAGCCTCAAAAGTGGCCATAATCCCAGAGAATGTGGGAAGTCTGGTCATGGTGTACGGCACAGTGGGAGGCAAGGGCCCCACAGGCCTGTTGAAGACACTCAGGCAGCCAGACATGGTGGCAAGTGCCAGTGATCCCAGCATTGGGGAGGCTGAGGCAGGAGGATCTTGGAGAGTTCTGGGGCTGCTTGTGGAGAACTTGTGTTCAATGCAAACAGTGCATGGCTGGAGTCCTTTGCTTGGGGTGGATCTGCAGCACAGCTGAACTCTGGGAGGTTGGCTCAGGCCACACAGCATCTGGCGTCCCCAGAGCCCAGGCCTGGGCCTGAGAGCTGCAGGGCCCCAGCCCATCCGGGCTCGCAGCCAGAGCCTGTGGCTGCCCCAGTAACAGCCGCCTCCCTCCCCAGGCTGGCCAGGGTCCAGCCACCTCACATGCCCCGCCTTACCCTCAAACCTTCAGGGCTTGAGATCAGCTCTCTGCAGCCTCAGTTTCCCTACCAGCAAAGGTCCCACCTCCAGGCCCTGAAGAGCCACCTGGAAATGCTCAGCCAGCTCCCTCAGCTCGCCCTGCTTCTCTCACAGGGGGTGAGGCCTTTACCTGTGTACCGCACTGTGGTCCTGAGCTACCATGCCCCTCCTCCCCTGTCGGCAGGGTGCTGCCCACCTCCTCTCTCCACCTGCCTGCCAGTTTGTGGGGGGAGTTGTTCTTTCATTTTACATACAGCTGGGCCAGCTCCACTCAGAGAAGCCCCGCAGGCCCTGGCTTGTCTCTGCTTTGTGCCAGGGCGTCCCTGCCGAGGGCCAGAGCCAATCCAGATGGTAGGAGCAAGCAGATCCTTGCCGTGGCAGGACACCTGTACACAAAAGGCCCTTAGGGGACCCAGGCTCCTGGAGGGGACTGGGCTGGGTGGGGGAGGGTAGGAATCCGGGGTGTGGTGCCTGTCATTGCCAGCACTGGGAGACCCAGGAGAGAATTGCTACAGTTTTGAGGTCCATGTGGGCTACCTAGCAGGACCCTCCTTCAAAACAGAGTCAGATGTGGTGGCCCAGGCCTTTATATCCAACATGTATGTAGAAGGCAGAGGCAGGCATATCTTTGTGAGTTCCAGGCCAACCTGGTCTATATATTGAGACCCTGTCTCAGAAATAAAGCCTAAAACAACTACCCTCTGATTGTTTCCCTTGGAGTTTAAACCCAGAGCCCTGTGCTGGGTTGCACAGTAGGCCACAGTAGAGTTTCAGTGGCTGTCACAGAATCACTGCGAAACCACATGGGTCCAACCATAGAGGCATTTAAAGTGGTGGAAAGGGCTGGTCTCTGCTTCCCAGCTTGAGTACAACAGTGTCTCTGTTGCCACTTTTTTGTTTTTGGAGAAAGGTTCTGTGTAGGCCAGGCTAGCTTGGAACTGGTGATTCTGCCTCTGACACCTGAGTGCTGGGTGTCTGCCCCCACGCCTCGATCACAAGGGGGGGGTGCCTCACCAACTGTTCCTGGATTTGTAGATTCCTTGTGGTAACTTGAGAAATCATTTCCCACTAATTCAGCCCTCCTTGTGGCCCCAGGTTCACAAGCTGGGCCTCCGCCATCTGCAGCCACCCACGCTGACTCCAGCAGGCATAGAGGGGATGGGGGCTCATGTCCTGTCCCCTCCTTCCAGGCCTCACACTGGCAGACCTGGCAGAGCAGTTCTCCCCACCTGACCCTGCTCCGCCCATTCTGGTGAAGCTGGTAGAGGCCATTGAGCAAGCAGGTGAGGTGCAGGCTGACTGTGGCCTAGCATTCTGTTTGTCTGAGGTCGAAGCCCATTCCTACCCAGGGCCATCCTGGTCTGTACATGGGAGGAGGCTGAGCCTGTATGCTGTGGGAAGGGGTGAGGGAGGCCCAGTGGGGAGGTGGCCTGGGGCCCATGTGACAAAGGTGGTCGGTCTCATGGGTCCCCTTTACCCAGGGCTGGACAGTGAATGCTATAGTCGGCCGGAGCTGCCCGCACCTCGGACAGGTCAGGGCTCTGCTTGCTTCCCTCTGCTGATGGGAAGGGTGGGCACATGCACCAGGCTGGACTGTAATGCCTCGCCCGCCCTCACCTGCAGACTGGTCCCTGAGTGATGTGGAGCAGTGGGATCGAAACGCCTTGTACGATGCTGTTAAGGGCTTCCTGCTGGCGCTGCCTACACCTGTGGTGACTCCTGAGGCTGCAGCAGAGGCACACCGGG